GGGTAAGGATGAAAGTCTGTATAAATAAAATGTATATTAACATAAGAGTTATTATTTCATAAGTACAAGGGGCCAGTTCTTAAAAGTAATTTCTTTTGAAATATTTGGAGATAGGGAAGAGGAAAAACCCGTTTCCTGGGCAGCATACAGGTGATAGTTTTGTCAATGCAGAATCATCAAAAGAAACCTGGCTCTTGAGGAGAGGTGTGGGGCATGCCTTAACATCAGTCCTGCCCTCTGGCCTTGTTCCTACTCTTATTTGACAGAAGGAACACCTACCCTAACACCTCACCTGCTAAAGAACTCTCTCAACGTTCACCTTCAATGCTTAGAAAAAAGCCAATATCCAACTAGTTCTAACATGAGAGACAGATACTTCTGCTTTCCATAGACTCTGGGTCACATTGATCCAAACTGAGTAGTTTAATGTTTTTAATTTATTAACCAAATTCATGAAGCTGGTTTTAGACAGTCTCTGAAAAGACAGGAGATGCCCTGAAAGCAATATTCCTGGAAATAAAGATGTTTAACCTCACTTCTACTTGCATCATCACAGATACAAACTGAAAGGTGATAGTGACTATCTGATAAAACTGTGATAAAAAAATTTGGGAAGCCTGAATACACCTCTAGAGCATGCAAGAAGGGGTACTATGAGATTATATCAACTTCTCCCTAGTCTGGAGAATTAGAATAACAAAAGGCAAAATTGTGTTTCCTTAGTTTATTTTTGGCCAAGTGGGAAAAAATGACTTTTTAAAAGCATTGTTGAATCATACATGAAATTAAAAGACATTTGAAATAAGATTAAATAATATCCATAATTTTAATGAACTATTTACAGTAGCAAAGCAAAGTTTTAGTTATACTTAATAGTTGTAGAATTTTCAATACACATGGTTTCATTTTTGATAAAAAAAAACATTTTTACATGCAGATTAGGGGAGAGAGGAAGGAGAGGAGGAGAGGAAGAAGGAAAGTAGAAGAAGTAGGAAAGATGAAGGGAGGGAACGTAAGGAGGCCAGAGGAGGGAAACTGAGAGAGAGAGACAGAGACAGGAGGCAAGAGTAAGGAAGAAAAGAGGAAAATGCACACTTTTGTTATGAATAGAAATCAGGTTTTCAGTAGTTTACAAAGTTAGCATTAGTATGAGTTACCTAGATTGACTGATTATACTGACCATGGTATTTTTATAATCTTGCGAACAATATTTTGGTTTTATTTTGCTGGATTTACTTCATATTCTTGGGCGTGACAGGATTCTGCTGTTGATTGGGGAGTATTTTATGTTCATTAGAGGCCTGATTAAGATTCTTCTTCCCTGAAGAGAATAAAAGCTAAAGGCTATAATTTAGATTCACATTTTTTCAGTTCATATTTTCCTTTTAATATCCAGAATTCTAGCAGTTTTACAGATGGATTTTCAAAGGCACATGAAAACCACATGAGTATTCCAAGGAATCTTTCCTCACAAATTGTACATCCCTTTAGTTCGAAATTCTATTTAATATGTTGGCTGAGTTGTCCCAGACACTTCTTAAATATATTCTCATATGGAGTATTAATGTCTCTGTACTAAACTTTATTTCATTTGTAGTTTTAGTCAAAAGTTTTCCTGAGGTGATAGATACAAGATTCCACACTAATGAAATCTGATTAGTACCGAAGTATAAATATTTTACTACTTCTTGTCTGTCGTTATTTCAGGAATCTCTTTTGAAAGCCAAGTTCCATGAACCGTACAGCACGAGTTTGCATTTGCTAATTTACTTTTGTTTCAGAAATCTCGTTCTGCCAGGTGGAAGCAGCGATAATGCAGTCTGTAGTGGTCTCATGTTCAAGTCCCAGTAATGAGAATGG